AGATTGAGCATCAGTCTGAGGTACATTTATTATTATTAACAATGTAATTATTCTTGCCTGTAAAATGCTATCCCTTAGTGAGTAACTTTGTCTTTAGTTAACTTGTTAATTTCATATTACTTTCAAGAATAATGATACTACATGAACATACAGTACTATTCCTTCATGTGTTAGTAGTATCTAATGGTATTTAAAACATGTTAATGTGTATTGTGTTCTTATTATTAGTATAACTTACCTTAATCTCTTTTTGTTGTTAGAAGAAAAGGAGACATCATATGGGTAAATGGAAGCATTGACGAGGTGGCGGGAGAGGAGCAGGAAGAGGAGGTGGCCAAGGAGGAGGAGATGGACAAAAAAGAGGGGCAGCTGGCCAAGGAAGAGGGGGAGGTGGCCAAGGAAGCGGGGGAGGTGGCCAAGGAAGAGAGGGAGGTGGCCAAGGAAGAGGCCAAAGAGGAAGAGGAGGCCCTGCTACAACAGTAAGAGAAAGAAACATCATTAAACATAACAATAACAACAAATTTTTCATAGGATTCATCCACAAGTGCAAAGACAATAAACTATTTTAACGTTACATGTAAAGAACTTAATTATACTTATGAATAAAAATAATATATATATTACCTGTAAACTCAAGGAAAAGCGATGGTTGGATTTGAATGAAGTATGGGGATGATCCGTGTTCAAAACAGTCCATAATTAGGACTTTTAGCACAAGAGGACGTAATAATAACTCTGTAACTAGGTAATGAAAAAACTTACTAGTATTTGAAGCCACCATGAATGGCAGGGCTTTAGACAACTCTTACGATGTCCATTATACAAGAAATGATAGTTCAAATGCTGTGAAAAGCAAGTCAAAAGTGCTTCTTTCTTCATTCCCCGTTTATTAATTGATTTGGGTGTGGTTTTTCCTGGTAGGCGTGGTTTCATTTACTACATGAACGGGCATGACACAGAAACATTGAAAATAACTTAAAATGGCTTTTCTCTGTACTAGTATTCCAGAGCAATCGTCCAAACAGCATCCATAACTTCCAAATTTTATTGTGCATTGTCATAAACGGGATATAGCTGGAAAGGAATTTTTTTCTCTATCTGTGAGTACCAAATTTAAAAATCAGATCTGTATTGTGTAATCAATTTCTGACTGGAAGTGCATACTTGTTAAACAATGCATGTTTTATGCATTCACCACATAAGTTATTTTGTTGCATAAGTTAATTACTATATACATGTACTGACAGACATAAATGTAAATGTAGGGGGCCTCTACTGTAGTTTGAAGCACCCAATGTAAAAATTTGTACTGTATAACCTCTTGTGGCAATATTCTAATAGATTCATGTAATTTTGATTTGTAAGAATTAGTGTACAATTATAATTGTTTTAGTTTTTGAGCTTTGCGAGACTTTTTTGTCCAAGGCTATAGCAAAGATATAATATTAATTTTTTTATTTTGTTAATTGAAAATTCACTGCGCGTTACAAAAGTAATAACACATTTTGTATATCTTTGAAGACATGACGCCATATTTAGTATTAATAGTGCATAAATTGGGTTTGTTTTTGCAAACTGACTAGCTATACTCTTATGCAGTGCTGTAACCTTCTTGATCCAAAATCCCTGTACACCATCAGGTCCTGGAGTTTTTCAACTAGGCATCTCCTTACATTGCTTCATAACTCTACCTATACCAATACTCAGATTATCCTGCGTCACTGATGTCCCACCTTCCTCAATCTCTCTTAACCATGTAGCATTCTGATTGAAATCCTTTGCCGTTCCCCAAATCCCCTTCCAAAATGACACACTTTGCTTTGCATCAGGCCCAAACCCTTCCTTTTCAATCCCCCCATCTAGCTG